TCTCCCAAACGGTCAAAAGCAGACATCCGCTCGAAGGAGGACGACTCGTCCTCTTCTTCCAGCCTGGAGAGCGCATCTGCCATCATAGCCTTCCCATTGGGCTTGGTCGCCTTCTTCTTCTGGGACCGCCTCACTTTTTTCTTTTTTCCTTGGGAGCCCGCAGGTCCAGCCTTCTCGCCTGTGGGTCCCCCAGCCACATCTCCCACCACTACCTCGCGGTTGGGCGCAAGTGCGGCCAGCACCTCCTTGAATTGTTCGGTCGTGATCCCAACCCTCTGAATGAGGGCCTCAGCCTCCCCGGTGGTGATGGGGGGGTGCCGACCTCCGGTGGCGCTGTTCTCCCCCTGTTGGGGAACTCCGGTACCTATGTTGGCGTTGCTACGTGTTTGCACCATCGTCGTTGTGGAGGATTTCTCCCGAGTATGATTCTCGAACTCTCAACGAGAGCACCAATTTGATGGACAATAAATCCACCAAATGATCCGATTTACAGAGCGGATCGCAAGAATAAAATTAAGAACAAGAATTCGAGAATTGGATGTGTATTACTAGCTTGATTTAGCCTGAGTTCTCCCCTTTCGGGTCCCCTCTATTTATACATGAGCTCTCAACAATTAAGGTAATGCATAACCGATGGAGTCTATCCCGCCAAGGGCGCGATCCCCTTTTCCCGGCTCCGTAACAGCCAATCAGCTCCGTCTCCTTCTCCGGATTGGCTCTACCAGCTGCGCTTGGCCTGAGGTTAACTAGGCCCAGCTCCTTGGGCCGGCCCAGCTTGAGTATTCCACAGGTGCTTGACCCGAAGCTGCTTAAATGGTTCATTTGGGCCGTCCTCCGGATATGGGCCCATCACTTAAGTTTCCCTCTCTCCGTCTTCATTCCCAAGTCTTATCACTGCCGACGCGGCGCACTCCCACCGTTACCATTAACCAACCGGACGCGTTAGCTGCAAACACAGAGGATACAAATTTGGAAATTTTGATAGTCCTTACAGCTTAGCAACTACGGAGTACCACGCACTTTCCTTGCATACTCCCGTTATAAAAGGTAAAGTAATTTTTTTGGCCAGTATTTATTTACGGGGAATATAGCTTCACCGTAATTTTACTTGTAGTTGTGTGAATCCTCTAGATCCAACTCCGAATCATCACTTTGTTTTCTACTTTTCTCTACAGATCCTTTAATGGAAAAGCTCAAAAGATCCTTTAAAGCTCTCTCTCCGGATCATCCTTCTGGTCAACCACAAGAAGAGCGCAGTGTTCTCTTGAACCAAATCGAATCACTAGAAAGTTCAATTCTAGACATGCCGACGCCTATGTCATCTTCTTCTTCACAGTCGCCCTCGAAGTCCCCTGCTGCCGATGGTTCTACTGAGTTCACTGCTAACATTATGCCTATAGAAACCGAGCTGTCTACTTATCGCTTGCAGACGCAGCTGGGAGATAGCAATGTTAATTATTCCACTGCGGTAAACCCTTGGGATGCTAACAAGGTCTGGAGGGATTCTAGCTACGATTTCTCCAACGATGAGGTGATTAACCCTAAGAAAAACGGCAATAAAGATTTCAACTTTGTTTCGGAGTCACCTCTGTCCAGGGTGGCGGAGAGTCCGACCATTGGTCAGATTTCTCCTAGGGAAGTTCGGGTCTCATTCAATGAGAACTTGAATGAACAGGTTCGCCGTCGGTCAATTGCCAGCGGCGAGCAGCGGACTAGTGCAGCAGAAGAGGTTGTGGTATGCAGTACAACCTCATCTTTTCGTAGAAAGTCGGGGCTTCTGTCTACTAAGATGAAGTCCAGGCTGTTGGACCCCCCTGAGCGGCAGAATGATCAGAGGTCTCAGAGGATGACCATGAAGTCTGGGCTATTGGGCAAGGGGTGTGAAGTCGAGGAAGATGACCCTTTCCTGGAAGAGGATTTACCAGAAGATTACAAGAAGATTAACTTTAGTCCTCTAACTATTATGCAATTGGTGAGTTTGGTCCTGATTATTTCAGCTTTGGTTTGTACTGTCTCCTTCCGTGTGCTGAGAAGGAAGGCTGTGTATGACCTTGACTTGTGGAAATGGGAGTTGATGGTCTCTGTGTTGATTTGTGGAAGAATGGTTTCTGGTGGGGGGATTAGAGTTGCAGTTTTTTTTATTGAGCGCAATTTTTTATTGCGAAAGAGGGTTTTATATTTTGTATATGGATTAAGAAATGCAGTGCAGAATTGCATTTGGTTGAGTTTAGTTTTGATAGCTTGGCAGTGCATATTCGATAAGAGGGTTGAGAGGGCTACCAATGGGGATATATTGCCACATGTGACCCGAATTTGGATTTGTTTGCTTGTGGGAACTTTCATATGGCTTGTGAAGACGGTGCTAGTTAAGGTTCTTGCCATGTCATTCCATGTCAATGCATTTTTTGATAGGATTCAAGAATCTTTGTTCAATCAATATGTGATTGAGACTTTATCTGGCCCTCCGTTGATTGAGATTTTGCGAGAACAAGAGGAGGAGGATAAGACGATGGTTGAGGTGCAAAAGCTTCAAAGTGCAGGGGCTACATTGCCTCCTGATCTCAAAGCTGCAATATTTTATAAGAGCGGGAGACCTATCGGGACCCCGCGAAAGAGCCCAACTTCTGCCACTGCAAGGAGCCCAACTCCAATGTTTTCAAGAGTCATGTCTAAGAAGGAAAAGGTTGAGGAGGGAGGAATCACTCTTGATCATTTGCACAGGCTCAATCAGAAGAATGTTTCTGCCTGGAATATGAAGAGGCTGATGAATATTGTTCGGAAAGGTGTGTTGTCTACTTTAGACGAACAACTTGATGAGTCCACATGTGAAGATGAATCTGCAGTGAAGATTACCAGTGAAAAACTGGCAAAAGTTGCAGCCAAGAAGATATTTAACAATGTGGCAAAGCCAGGCTCCAAGTGAGTAGTTATGTACTGTGTGATTTCTTTTGTTAAAGTTCAACTTAGTTGCATACAGTAGTTTACACTTTTTTGGGGACATTATTACATATTTATTTATTAGCAACTTGTTTGGCATTTAACATTGTTCTATGTTATCTCTTAATTTGCATTGATTCACTCCGATATGATTGCTAGATATCTGAATCTTTCACACCATATAATGAAAATGGTAAGGTACTATGGTCATATACCATCTAAAGGAGAAAACAACTTTACTTTAAAGTTACAAATACACTAGGCCAGTGATGTTTTGGAATGCCAACAATTGAATATATTTCAAGCATATTTAGACTCAGATGCTACTTGTTGTGTTGCATACAGAATTATAACTGCTTTTGTTTCAATTTATATTTTGGGCTTCGTATCATTTGCTAAATTGGCTCTCTCAAAAGGTCTTGGTTTAAAGTATGATATTCAAAGTGCCTTTTATTTGAAATTCAAAAAAAAAGATAATTTAGGTGTACAATGGCAGGATTGGCAGGTGCGTTTTTTATTGTTTGTATCATTCATTTGGGATTGGAAATTGTAAAAAGCTTGCCACTTTAGTGCACTGGAGCATTATTTGTTGGTTCATCCCTAAGAACTATATATGCTCCAAACCTTTTGTCAAACATTTCTTTCTCCACCGTCCCTCCTTAAAGTGTTAGTTTTTTATTTTTCATATGAAGTTGTGATAAAATTTCATTAACATTGTTGCCGATAGGTTTATTTACACGGAGGATCTCCTATGCTTTATGAGAGAGGATGAAGCATTAAAAGTTTTGCATCTTTTTGAAGCTGGAAATGAGACCAAAGGAATCAGTAAGCGTGCTCTCAAAAATTGGGTGGTGAGGATTTTAATGTGTTTTTTCCCTCGTCATCTATTAATTTAACCTATTTACTTGATGTTACTACTTGAATTATGATTGTATTTTCTAGAAAAGAAACCTTAGCTTTTTAAACTAGTTTGAAGAAATACATATCAATGAGGAAATTGTTTCATTTTTGTGCATTCCCAGGTCAATGCATTTCGAGAACGGAGAGCTCTTGCTTTGTCTCTAAATGACACCAAAACTGCTGTGAACAAACTGCATCATATGTTGAATGTTCTTGTAGCAGTACTCATAGTGGTCATCTGGCTTCTTATACTGCGAGTTGCAACCATGCATTTTTTTGTGTTTTTAAGTTCCCAGATTCTATTGGTGGTATTCATGTTTGGGAATACAGCTAAGACAACATTTGAGGCCATCATTTTCTTATTTGTAATGCATCCATATGATGTTGGTGACCGTGTTGAAATTGATGGCGTTCAGGTAAAAAAAAAAATTCATTTACAAAATTTCCTTCTTTTTTTGTTCATCAGTTTTCATTATTGGTCTTCATTCCTTACATAATCCCCCTCAAGCTTCATCATTATATACAAAATTCTTTTTGGATTTCAGATGGTCGTTGAAGAGATGAATATATTAACAACTGTATTCCTACGATTTGACAATCAAAAAATATTCTATCCAAATAGTGTTTTGTCTACAAAGCTTATAGGTAATTTTTACCGTAGTCCGGATATGGGAGATTCAATTGATTTTGCCATTCATATTTCAACTCCAATGGAAAAGATTGCAACTATGAAAGAGAGAATAACAAGGTATGAATGGACATACATTTCTATTGCCTTTGTATATATACATCCTTGATCATTTGCCAAGACATGAAGTTATTTATTACTCCGTATCTTTTCGCAAGGAACCTGATGACTTCGTACCGACTCTTCTTTTTCTTTTTTTTTCTCAATGAAAAAATGAACAGCTACATCGAGAACAAGTGCGACCATTGGTATCCGACTCCAATGGTAGTGATGAGAGATATAGAAGACATGAACAGGATAAAATGGTCGGTTTGGATTTCACACACAATGAATTTCCAGGACATGGGGGAGAGGTGGGTGAGGAGAGCCCAACTCGTTGAAGAGATGATCAAAGTATTCAAGGAGCTTGATATTGAGTACCGCATGCTCCCGATTGACGTCAATGTCCGAAACATGCCTTCACTCACTTCTACTAGACTCCCATCTAACTGGACTGCTTGTTCCACATAATCTTATACTGTCTGCATACACACACACACACACACACACACACATACGGTAAGTCTAAAATGACATCAGTGCTATTAGTGTCATTTGTTTACACCAGTTCGTTTGGGATACCTACGATGTTCCGTTTGTAAAAACGACGGTTCCTAGCCCCCCTAACCCTCCTCCTAAACCCCCCACCCCAGCCCCACCCTTGCCCCCCCAGCCCCCACCGTCGTTTTTACAAACGGAGCACCGTAGGTACCCCAAACGAACTGGTGTAAGCAACTGGTGTATAAGTAACTGGTGTCATTTTAGACGCTCCCATACATACATACATACATACATACATACATACATACATACATATATATATATATATATATATATATATATATATATATATATATATATATATATAAGAATGTATGTGTATATATTATGCACGTGCATATTAGCAGTATTAGCAGAGAGAGCCATTGATTTTTTAAGCTGTTGATCACATTCCATTTTAGCCCAGATCTCTAACTAGTATCGGATGTGGTAAAATGTAGGGACACTCAGGTAGAGCAGGCATGTGTTTCATATTAATGTAAACTATGCTTCCTTTATTTGCTTCCCATGTCTTTCAAATTAATTCAAAGCAAAGGATTTGATGGATTTATTTACTGGAGAATAGTAGTAACGATAATTGCAATTGAGCTCCTCTTCCTCATTCTTAGAAGGTTTATAACTTTATATAGAGAATCGACTCAAATAACAATAACTGGCCAATTCTTTCGCCTCTCTTCAGTCATGTCAATCAACCCTCAATTAGCTTCTATCTAGGCTTTACTATTGTGGTACGTGGCTATCGCCCCCTCAGTCCACTAATTAACAATAACTAGAGGTGATAATCGGGTCAATTCGATTGGTTTCGGGTTGATTTTTTTTTTGTTCAGATATCTTTCGGATATATGTTAAAATCAATTAGATTTGGTTTGGATCGGTTTAATTTCGGTTCGGATTTGATTCGGTTCTATACATTTTTTGGTTCGATTCGGTTTCGAGTCGGTTCAGATACGGTTCGGTTATAAATCGGTTCAGATACAATTTGAATCGCATATATTTCGGTTTCGAATCAAGTATATTTTGGATACATATTATTTTTCTAATTAAAATTTAGTTATCCATGCTTCTTTTTATGTTTTATCACATTTATCAATCTATCATCAATTCAATACCTCATATTATTTTATATTTTTTTCTAATTATACTATCAGATATCTGTACCCTAGATAATCTTTCTTTTTTGAGTTTTTAGTCATATTTTACAAATTTGGACAACAAATTATGAAAAATTATATATTCATTATTATATAAATTTAATATAATTAAATTTATTTTAAAATTTAGTTTTGATATATCAAATTTTTCTCACATCTACTAATATATTTATGTTTATAAATGAAAAGATAAAAGATAAATTCAAATAGTGTTACGTTCCAACTGAATACAATTTGGTAAAAATTGAGTGAAATTAAGTGAATTTTATTCAATTGAGTGCAAAATTTATAAATTATTTGAGTGTATTTGGTTGAAATTTGATAAAATTAAATTTAATAGAGTCAAATATAATTAATTTTACACCTAAATGTAATGGTGTAGATCAAATTTGAAATTGATAACACTAAATGTTGCCGTTAGAGAGTCTTTTCAAAATGCTAACACTAACATCTAATGTTATTGACTAATATTGAGTGAATTGTTTTGAAACTAATCAAACTAACTCCCAAACCAATAAAATGTATTGCAATGGGATGAAATTAGGATAAAATCTAGTTATTCCATACAATTCATCATATAATCCTTTCGTCCCAAAAAGAATATCACACTTCACTATTTAAAAATTACGAAAATTTTATTTGTTTGTGCGTTATCATTTATTATTTGATAAAATAAACAATTATTCTTGTAACATCTTATTTTGTAAAGTTTTTAACGTATTTTTTAAAATATGTAGACATTTGTTTATTTATATACCAATCTTTAAATAAAATAAATTTTAAAAAATTAAATTTTTTTGATTTGCATTATGTAGCATTCTTTCTAAGATGAGGGAGTTTTTTCTTCAAAATAAGATTGTATTAATTGAATTATGTAGCTTTGTAACTTAAGATTGAAAGTAGTATTGTATTTTTCATATACTCCGTAATATCTAATCAAAGACTTAATTTTTTATCAATTTTCTTATGCTCAAAATTTCCCCATTCCTTTTCACTTTCCCTATTTAATCGTATCAATTTTTTTATGCCACCATTCAACTCATTTCTCAATTTCCATTCACCTTCAACTCTTAGACCTAATTTTTTTCAATTGGTCACCTTGTTTTTCAAATATTTTATTCCCTTTAATTTTGTTAATAACAAAATAGTTGGCTCACTTTATTCATCCAAAACTTTATATGTATAACTTATCTTCAATTTCTAAATATAATAAATTTAAGGCATGAGATTTTGTAATTTTTTTTCAAGATGATAATCCACTTTATGAGGGAATTAGCAATTAATGTAATTAGTTCAAATGGTAAAATAAGAGTAAAAATTCAAAAATATAATATGCTTATTGAAAAGCAAACACAGTTCTGAATTTATCAGTTTTAGTTCTAATCAAGTTCAGATTTAATCGGTTTCGGGTATTATCGGTTTTGGATCGAATTAGTTTCGAATTTAAATCAGATATGAATTATTTAGTTCATTTTTGGTTCGATTCGCATCATTTCGAGTTTTCGGTTATAGATCGGATCTTCATTTTTCGGATTATTTCGGTTTTTGGTTTTGGATAATTCAGTTCGGGTAATCGGTTCTGATTCTGTTTTGCCAGGTCTATCTATAAGTAGTGCTTCAGGGGAAGAGGCCCCTGATCCTCTCTAGCATTGTCAAATCACCGGTGATCACTAATGAATACCGCCCCTTGTTCCGTGAGAGATTCGCATGAGTGATGACTTCGGATCTAATCAGTTTTGAATTTAAATCAGATATGAATTATTTAGTTCATTTTTGGTTCGATTCGCATCATTTCGAGTTTTCGGTTATAGATCGGATCTTCATTTTTTGGATTATTTCGGTTTTTGGTTTTGGATAATTCAGTTCGGGTAATCGGTTCTGATTCTGTTTTGCCAGGTCTATCTATAAGTAGTGCTTCAGGGGAAGAGGCCCCTGATCCTCTCTAGCATTGTCAAATCACCGGTGATCACTAATGAATACCGCCCCTTGTTCCGTGAGAGATTCGCATGAGTGATGTCGAATAGAGCAGTGGCCACGGCCCATGGCCACAAAAGAGAAGCATCGTTTGATTTTTTTAAACTAGTATTTTAACTCGTGTCATGCACGTGGTGGAATGAGTTTTTTGTTTTGAATTTTTAATTTTTCTACACTACAACACTTTTAGAAAAAAAAACAATTATCGAACTTATAAGTTAAAATAATGATAGAACGTATAACATTTTATAATGAAAGTTCTACTCTATACATTTGAAAATATATATGTCAAAGTCTTTTTTAAAATAAAAATTTTGAAAATTTGAGGTATATAACATTTTTGTGTGATGTTATAAAGACTACCAAAGACATATAAAACTAATATTTTCAGCTAGGGTTGGACACGTTCCCGATACGGAACCGGTACCGGTGGTTTCGCCACTGGGACCGGCGACGGGACGACGGTGCAGGGAACTAGTACCGGAACCGCCCCACACGGTACCGGGTCCAGTTCTAACTTTTTGTGGCCGGAACCGGCGGTCCATTTTTGAATTTTTTTTCTTCCTGAAATCCTGAGAAAAAGTGCAGTAGGTGGGCCGTGGGAGGCTCTATGGCTGTTTTGAGGGGGGATGGGGGTTTGGGGGTGGGTATTTTTTAGCTATAAATACTCCTCTAATTTTTTTAATTCACTCATCAATCTCTCTCTCTTAATCTTTATTATATTCTATCTTTTTTATAATTTTTACTTATATATTTCATATTTATATATATTATATTATAAATATATAATCATATATTACTAATATATTCTATTATGATATATTTATATTATAATATATTTCGAAATTAAAATATATTATATTATTAAAATTATAAATTTATCATATTATAATATTCTAAATTTCTAATATAGTCTGGGCATTGTGAACCGAGGACCTCCGAAGGTTCGAGCTCACGTGCTTCTCAAAAAACACACTCTGTCTCTTCCTTTCCTACTATCCCCAACAATTCATAGACGGCGCTATGACCGATCAAGAATTCGACCAATATTTGGGAGGTAGGAATGACGCCAATCTTGAAACTCTTGAAGATATATTTGAGGATGTTGAAGAGGAGGTGGAACCAACACCGAGAGCAACGATCCTACTGACAAGGAGAGAAGTGATCCCGAGATTCTATTTGTTATGATATTCGGAGTGAAACGTATAATAATTTGTCTTATATGGGTGTTACCTGTCATTTGATAGATAGTGATTGGATTATGCATAAACCTGTTCTTGCATTTCGTGATTTTAATGAATCTCACACTGGTGATGATATTTTTCTTTTGTTTGAGTGTATTCTCCAAGAATACAATTTACTTGATATAGTGTTTGCATTAGGTTTTGATGATGCTACTTATTTCTTTTTATATTGTGCAGCACTAATTTTTATATTGTGCATGTTCTAAGTATATGTAAAAAATAAATGTTCATACTTCAATTTAATATGCAAAGAATACTCTAGAGACATACGAAAAACAAAGTACTGAAAGCTTTTGCAGTAATGAATTGGTTCATTTTTTTTCCAACTGAGATTAATAAAGAGTATTGCTTCATTTTTCTATTTATTTTTGTTACAAGGATTCGTGAGATACAACTAAAAATGAAAATTTATTTGATTGATATTGATTTTAAAAGGGAAAAAGAGTAAATTAGGAGTAAAACATTGAAAATATACCAAAATAAAAGTTTCATGTTTTTATTCCCGAAATAGGAGTTAAAATTCATTTACATTATCAATCATAACCATGTACATTACGTAAAATGCACAAGTACAGTGTCACATTACCACAATGCAAACTCTTATTTAAAAAATAAAAACATGGAATTCTTATTTTGATAATTTCTCTATGTTTTAGTCATATTTAGAGTGATTTCTTATTTTAAAATTTAAAGAAAGAGTTTGAGTCACACAAAAATTACGAATACAGTTTGGGATAATATATTATGGTATAGAAGAAAATAAAACCAGATGAAAGAAATTGAAAAATACAATATACATTTTTTAAATAAAATATGAAATTTATAAAATAAAATAATTATTTCAACATTTTTTTATTTTTTTCAACTTTTTAAAATTCTTTCCCACTTTTACAAGTTTTTTCCAACTCTTTCTTGTTTCTTCTAACTCCTAATTTCTGTCAACTTCTAATTTCTTCCAACAAAAAAATAAAACTATCATTACACGCTAAATAAAACGTATATGCTCATTCAAAGAATAAAAAATTGCTCACTACCAATGGATGCATAGTATTCTTGTACCTACGATTGTATGGATAGAATTCCCCATCTATCTTCTTTGGGCACGTTTTTTCAGAAGACAAATACGGAGTAAGTTACTGGTCTCTTTTTAGACTCAATAACACATAGATTCCGTTTCTTTACCAATCTGAGCAGCCAACAAAGTATTCTAACAAAGCACCATGCATACGAAAATAGTGCAGTTAATCCTACCCATGGCCATCATTGATTAAGAACTCCACGACAGAAACAAATCCATAGTAATACCTAGGGATGGCAATTCAACCCGAACCCAAGCTTAACCGACCCGACCGACCACTAAAATATCCGAACCCAAACCGAGAATAAAATAATCCGAACCCGACCCGAAATTTTTTTACCCGAACCCGACATCGGGTCGGATCGGGTGTGGGTTTATTATTTTACCCGACCCGAACCCGAATCCGCACCCGACCCGACTCAAACCCGAATATTTTATAACATAAAAGCCTATCTATAGATATAATGAGCATTCCATATAATCTCTTGGCAAAGTGTTACTATATCAAGTATGCCATTTATAACATTTTTATAATTCCTTAATAAAAAATGAGACACAAAAAAAATTAGATTTAATCTTTTTAAAATTATTGGGATACATTGAATTGATTATTGGTTAAAAGTCGGGTTCGGGTCGGGTTTGGGTTTTGGGTTGGGATGTCGGGTTCGGGTCGGGTTTCGGTTTCGGTTTTAAAAGTCGGGTCGGGTCGGGTATAGTACTATCCGACCCGAACCCGACCCGTTGCCATCCCTAGTAATACTAATACCAGAGCACAGCTTTACAGGAGCTCCACTAGACTCCTTCAATTCATTGAGTATATTATGCAATTACGTACAACTGTCATATAATTAAAAACTTCAAATAAAGGGACAAAGTAGATTCATTCCCCAAGTGATCTGATAAAAGTATCAAACGCCAAACTGAGCAAGTGCAAAAGTTAAACTAAAAGCTCAACCCCAAAATGTTTAAAGAATTAAAGCATCAGAAGTACCAGCAAGTATCCGGCAATTACTCTTGCCACCCGGCAAAGCTTTTGCCTTCTCTCAGACATTTACCCCTTCGGTACTCAATCTCCGCATCAGAACTGGATGAACCATGGGGATATTTCCTACAAAGTCTCGAATTCCCCATCTTAGAGAAGATATCCTCATCTTCGCTCACAACGCGATACTCATGTGAACTGGCTCTAGAGGCATTACTACGACATGTTTTTGAACAATTATCTGAGACAGAAGCAGCAGAAAGAGTTTGAAATCTGGCATCTAAACAACTCCCGAGGGATGTGCAATGATTTCCAGTTATGACATATAAAAGCACCAAGACATTTTGTGAATAATTGAATAGAAATGCCAGAGAAATATTTGAACAGAAAATGGAAATTATATACCCTGGAGGATTTGATTAATAGACAAACACTATTGCTTTAAAAAAACATATTAGTTGCATAAACTAATGAATATATATATATATATATATATATATATATATATATATATATATATAGACACACACACACAAGAACACACACATGTGTGTGTGTGTACATCTCATGCAACTAAGTCAAGTACCCTAAAGAGCATCAAAGTGCAACTTTTTTAAGCCTGAAAATGGTAGGGTGTTATACTGTTATCACATGCACCTTTCAAATGACTGTCCGGCAAATCAGCATCATTGGAGCTTGATTTACAGCATTGTGAAGTGGAGTCGATTTCATTGGCTTGTGTCTTATCGTTTGACACAGTCTGTACATTTTCCTGTCCTTGACCATTATCAGAGGCAAAGGGCATCATACGGAATGAATCATCTGTGACATCAGAAATCTCCACATACTGGGCAGTAGTGATTATTTCATCAGCACTGAAACCAAAAGATGCTCTGTAAGCTTCAATCTCGTCTGCCTCTTGCTTGAAGTTTTTACTCTGCCTGCTTTGATGCGCATTTCCAGCATTAGAATAAGCATCAGACTCCTTAGAAACACTCAGCCTCCCTCCTGAATGAGGAAATAATGATTGATCATAGAATTCAGCAAATGTAGCCGGGCAGAAGAAACTTGAATCATATGGCGTTTTAGAGGTGCCCACTGTTTCCAGTCCATCGAGCCTGCCTGAATCAGATCGTGGCTTTTGTAGAGCAACAGAAGAAGGCAAATTTCGTTCACTGGAAGGTGATGGCAAGAAGTCACCAGTGGTCCTTGAAGCAGGTGATCTGAGATTATTATTATAAGCAGGGCTCTCTGGAAATAAAGAGCAGGCTGATTGAAGATCACTAGTAGTAATGATGTTTGTCTTCTCAGCGGACTTAATACCCACAGAGGAAAGGAATCTAGCATAAGGAACATCTGGAGAAGATGGTGTAGTCAGATGAGCTAATTCTGGTGGAGGGGTAAAAGGAGCAGTAGATGGCTCAGTTGTGAACGTAGAGAACACCGGAGGAGATACAAGTTGAGTCTCATGGGCATATGGACCCGTAGCAAACATAGTTGACGATGGACCTTCAGGGGAGTTGGCACTTAAGTAACACCTTGGTGACTGAGCTGTTGAAGGAAGTGCCGAATTATTATTAGAAAAGAACGCGGGCGAAGAAGGCGGGGCCAAAAGTGATGGCGCCAGTCCAGTAGTAGTATTATTACTATTCACAACCCCCACTAGAGGTCTACTTGCCAATGAATTGGCCTCTTGGATACGAGAAGAAGGTACTATACGCTTTCCGCCTTTTTGTTTGCCGAAACAAGACAATCCACTCCAACATCCAACCCATCTTTTGTGCTGTCATATTGTTAAGAGCGATTATTATTAATCATTTGGAGAAAGTAAAAAAGAGATGCATCATAAGACAATGTTAGGATGTGTCAACATATAAGCTAGCCTTTCATCACATTTTCTACTCGAATCAATTTTTCAAATACCCAAATGCTAATATATACCGTACAAATGAATGTAAAGTCACTGTGTGTAAGGTACTTGAAGATATTGATAACAGTAAAACAGTCTTTTATGATACATTAAATACAAAACCATGATTTTTAGAATGAAGGTGGTAGAGCTATATAAGTTAATCCGGCTATGAAAAACGTGATTTACTGCCTGTATCACCAGATCAGGGAACCCATAGTCAATAATGCAGCTCATGTATTTGTACAACAGAGCGTAATCGAATCCCAGAATCAGATCTGGGCCGGTACAAGGACATTACACAAGATCAAGCAGAAACATAAAACAGAGAAAATTAAAAAAGGGGATTAAAGAACAAACCATGAACGGACAACAACGGTGTACAGATGGTGTGACACCAACAGAAGAGAAATGGATCAAATCCGTACAAAATTAAAAATCAAAGTGACATGGGGAGAGCAAAATGTAAATCTGGGAATGGGATGTACCCCAGACGGACGAGGGAGCGGCGGAGGAGGCAGCTCTAGCAGCGGCTGCTGTAAAAGCGGCGGAGCAAATCTATTCTGCTCCGAACCCATTTGTACATCTAGCACATGTAGGCAGACTAGGGAGTGAGTGGGTGATTCAAGCTCGGTGCAACTCCTCCATCCAATAATATAGACTCACGTCCCTTTTTCTTTCTGATGAAGCAAGCTCTCGCTGTTCTTGACTTCTTGCACTCACAAACTTCCGCTAAAATACGTATATCTGCGGAAAGGGAGAGGGAGAGGGGACAAAAGGAGTTTCCATCGAAGACCATGAAAGACAAAAGCGACATAAAAGGAGCACAAAGAAAAAGATGCCAAATTGGGATTTCTTTCCACTGGGTAGCTAAAAATATTTTGTTTTTGTGATAAAGTTCCCTTCCACATAAATTGTCAAGGGACAAATTTCGGGTGATTTAAAGCTTGTTGTATGAGATTTATTGAAATTTGATTAGTCTCATTAGGTCTAACTAGTTTCACACCCGTGCGATGTACGGATCATATTTACGTTAGTAAATTATATCAACATCATTTTTGAAAGATACAAATTGATAATAATCTAAGCGGTGTTTATCAATTAACAACACATTGTCACCAAAAGTCAATTTCTGAATCCATAAATTTGTAACGAAAATCCCAAAAAATTGTGATGAACATTTGAAAAACTTTCCCGACATCTCTTTAAGTTTCATCCCGCCAAAGAATTTTAGCATAAAAGGTTGGCTGGCAGTTTTCGCTATTTGGTAATTGTGCAGTGCTTTGACTCTTATCTGTAAATAAACACGATTTTCTTTCAATTTTTCTTTGAAAGTGTGTATATTTGAATCTCGGATCTGGACATGTATTCGATCTCTCTGATAGTGTAAATGAAAAAAGTGCACATTCGCATCATTACAACGTTGTGAATGTATACGTATTTTAGGTTAATTATAATAAAATAACTAACATCTGATGATGACAAATTACATTCAAGGATTCGGGTCCCCTAGCATGGGTGGGGAAATAATAAACTCTTATCGATCTTAATTTAAGCATCAAAACTGATGACCTCTGACTAATATTTTTTACATTTCTTAACAATCCCATGTTACTCGAAGGGTAGAATTGAATAATTATATAATATTTAATATTATAAGAACTTAATAAGAAATTTAAAACTCAAAATGCAGTTGAAAGAGGGTAATTACAAAAAGGGTTTAAGAATGTCCATATTTATAATAGGAAGATTTTAATTTCTTTCTATATTTTGGATTTTGTAAACTTTTTTTAATTTTCGTGATGGTGTAAATACCGTGCAAATACGAAGTATGAATGAGCGGAAGGGTTGTAGGTGGAAATACCTATAACCCAGTTTGTTATTAATGATGCTCGAACTGATTACAAAAATACAAGCCGTGTAGGTTAATTAGAATATGCCTCACTAATGAGACTTTTACTCCTATTTATAATAATGAATAAGCACGTCAAGCAGGTCTCGACGTTACTGTTCCTCTGCCCGGTCAGTACGCATGCCTTCGTGAGGTGAGGCCATGTGTGTGATTCCGAATCTTTTCACCCCTGGCCGGTCAGACCGCCCGGGTCAAACGGGTCATAGGGCGTTGAATTTGATACCTCCCAGTCGATATGAACCTACCGGGCAGAATCCATGGGTTATTACCCATCAAGGAGTCCTCTGATTCCCGGCTCTGTGGGTACCATCAGGGGCGGGAAGCATATGCGAGCTTATTTTCAAATTTCAATTCCCTAGGTTGTTTTGGCGGGAAAATGGCACTTGTAAACCGGCGCCAAAACAAATATATTTAAATTTTGAATTTCAAAATCCCGGGCGTCAAATGCGGGGGAATCTTTATTGGAATTCGGTACGGCGCCGCCGATTTGTCGCGTTGTTCCATCTTCCCGAGAAGTTATCATTACAAATCATTTTGGCTGCCACGTGTCGCTCCCCCATTGGTCCGGCTGGGCGGCACCTCCCCTATATAAAGCGAGGTTCCCCACCAAATTTTCTCACTTGCAATTTATTATCCAAAAAACTGCCCGGTTGCTTCCACTATCTCTCGAGTCTTCCGAGTCTTCTAGTTTCAAGTAAGTCTCCGTTCTCCCTCCTCATTTCTTTGAGTCATGCCTGACCACGAGGATAGCGGTTCTGTTCATTCTTTTGGTTCTGGTGCCCGGTCTCAGACCTCCAGTTCCCAATCCTCTTCTGAATGCCCGGCTACTTTTCCAAAAAAGAAACCGGTTGATGCTTCCACTTGTGCCCCTTCTTCTTCCGCGACACAAGTTGTTAGAAAATAGGCCCAACTCTAGAGGGGGGGTGAATAGCGTTTAAAACAAAATCGCAAGAATTTAAAAACGAGAGCGATAAAGTAAAGAACGTAAGGAAGGAGCACACCGAATTTTATCCTGGTTCACCACAACGTGTGGCTAATCCAGCCTTTCGAGAGACTCTCTCGAGTTACACTAACTCCATTAAGCTTAAAGGTGCTCAACAAACCGATACAACTTGTGAACTCGAGTCACACGAGCCTCAACGCCTTTGCTCGGAGATACCGCACTCCAAGACTTCTCACGAAGGAACGAAAGACTGCCTTCGAGTTTACAACAAGGGAACAACCTCCCTTAAAGTGTATTGAAACACTTAAACACTCAGGAATAAAACTCTCACAAAGAGTAGATATGAGTGAACTAATAAACGCTCAAGAACACGACAATTTCTTCAAGAATTGGCTCTCAAATAGCTAAGAAAAATAGGAATGCTTATGCAATGAAAGAGTATTGAAATGTTGAAGAATTGTGTATAAAATGAGAGGATTTGGGTGCCATTTTATAGCCTAAAATGGGATAAACCCGTTGCTAGAATTTCTAACAGGATGAAGACAAATTTTTCAGAGATGCAGGGTGATAGTCAATTGTCTAGTCTTGATAATCGATTATCAAAAGATTCCTTGTCCAGAAATTTAAAATTCTATCCGTTGGAGGACAACGGTAACGCTGATAGTCGATTGTCAAGACCTGTCACTCGACTATCAGGCCTCTTAGAAGTTTCTGGGTTTGAAGTTAAACGCAGACAGTCGAGTGACAATAGGTGTTAGTCGCCTATTGGATGGTTCTGAACTTGAGGTTCAGAATTGTAGCAGCCAATATTTGAATGTCATTACGTGACAATCGATTTTCACCTGGCTAAAACCATCCGGCGAGAAACTTAACCCAAAAAGCCGAGGTCCAAAAACGAAGTGTTCCCAAAAGTAAAAACCAAGTTTGAAAAACTTTGTATATGGTATAAAATAGTGAAATCAAGACTTGTTTGATAAAAACCAAGTCTTCGAGGTCGTTAGTCACGTGTGTACGGTTTTGACCGTTTTCACGTGTTAGACCGATTGACCGAGATACAAAAGTGGTTTTTATAAAATAATTATTTGGAAACCTTTTAAAAATGCCCAGAGGTAAAAACGAGGTTTAAAAACCACCGAGTTGGTTTGGACGCCGAACCCCGAATGCCGAACGCCGATGCTAAACGCCGACCGAGGTGGTTTTTGGTCTGGGCAAGGACCAGGGTTTTTAATACAATGAAACTTTTAAAAACGTTTATTTGATGCACAAAAATGTTTTATGATTTTGTAAAATTATTTGACTCTTTGAGAACCGAGACTTGAATTGATTGTCGGTTTTGATCACAATAAGACCGACTCGACTAAGTCTTCAATTCTTGATCTTTGTCCTTGAGTCTTTTGGTCTTGTTCCATGCCATTCTTCACGCCTCGTGTTGTTCAATGAAACTTTTCATATCCACGGCGGTTTGGAAATTATCAAAACCTGTCAGAAGTGAACACGACTTTAGTTTAACGTAATAAAAAGTGTGTTCCAACACAAGTGGTCTCGGTTGCCCGATCTGTGGACGAGGGCTTCATTCTGTTGGATGACCGGTTGCTCTTGGAGCAACCGTCGTACATGCAGAAGGCTCAAGTCCACAAGCTGCGCAACTTGATGGTTGCCCGATGGCAACGTGGAAGAATATTATATCTCTCCACGTCGGTACGACGATTGGAATCCACTACCATTCCATCAAGGACTTGGGTGAATTTTCCATTCATCCCTTCAAAGTCCTTTTCTTTGAGACATACGGGGTCATGCCCGGGCAGTTAGCCCCTAATGGTCGTATGCTCAGCAGTTTCATCAATGCTGTCGCTTCATTCGCATCCCCCTCTCACTCCGTCTCTTCGACCATATGTTCGATGTCCGGCCCGGGTCCAAGGAAACCCTTGGATTCGAGATCGTATCATGCCATCAGGGCCGGGCATTCCTTTCTGGTCTTCCTCCTTCCAACAGGGGTTGGAAGGATAAATATGTTTCTATCAAATTCTCCCCGGGCGCTTTCCCTTTTGCCCAAAATGCCTAGGGGAAAAGAATGAAAGTCCAGGTCAAGCCCAGGGAGACTGATGACCTAGCCGCCAGGGAAGCCACTCTCCGGACTGGGGACACCTCCACCTGTGGTCCTTATAACATCGAGAAGTGGAGGAGCCCTCAACCGCCCAACCCTTCAGCCAGCCCTCTGGTCAGCCACTGACATTGGATGAGCAGCCGGCCTAGTCTCATGAGGCAACCCCCCCTCCCCATCTCTCATATCCTAAAATATTTTTGTAACCATTTGCTGAGATATTTCCTTCTTTCTAAAGCAGGTCGGCCGAATCGGCCAGGAGTGGTTCACCCGGCTTGTCAAATTTAGGGATGAGGAGAAAGCCCGGCTGGAGGGCATGATGGTGGCCTGCTAGAAGGAGGCCAAGGCCGCCTATCAGAAGGCGGAGAAGGCTGAAGAGAAACTGATGGAGCATTATGCTGCCTATCAGAAGCTCTATGCCAAGCGCGACGGGCTGCTGAAGGCCTCCAAAGAGGCCGATGCCCAAGCTCAGGAGAAGATCCAGGAGCTTGAGGGGGAGAAGGCCGAACTGAAGGAGAAGGCCGCCCAATCCGCTGACGAGATTGCCCAGCTAAGGGCTGAGCTGGAAAAGGAGCGTGCCGACCAGGCCTCTTTTGCTGCTGCCTCGGCGGCCCAAGAGCCAGAGCAGTTTGCCGCCCGGGCGATTCCAGACCGGGAGACTGCCATCCGGTTCTTCCATGATCTCTTCAAGCATGAAGTGTCCGCCAAGGTCGTAGATGAGATCGGGACCTTCGGTTTTGAGAGTGGCTAGTATGAGGAACGCCGGGCGCTCTATGCTATTCTCAAGAGGTGGATTCAAGGTTTTGAACCCAAGGCCTTCTCTCTTCCCATGCTTCATGACGAAGCACCGGTCGCCCCCTTCGAAGGGATCTGAGCACAAAGCCTTCTCTCTTTTTTTTAATTATTTCTGGATGTAATGATCAGCCTTCAGGCACTTTTGTAGAACACTTTAATATTAATGAAATTTATTTTTCCATACTGTGTGTTGAGTGTTTGATTACTTGTTTGTTTGAACAAATGCATCGACTACTTTGAACTTTAAAATGATTTGTTAAACTTTAAATTCATTGCCATGTAGATTATTCAAAAATAGCCCGGTTGTATCTACCCGATCTAAAGAATTCACCCTAGTCTTTTCAAAAGACTGACTATGTGATGGGGAGAGATGGAGTCCGACCGGTTCCCTCCCAAAAGTTTACCATGTCCTTTCCATGGTTTTCCACCCGGGTGTAAACGAAGCCGGCTTGTCTTTTACATTGGCTTACTGCTTGTGTTGAAAGATAAGCCGTGTATTACGATCTCTTGACCATACCAAGCCGGGATGCTCACCCTTTGTGGTTACGTCATTTGATTCTGTGTCAGTATGGATAGTTTGACCAGACCGGCTGGCTATATCTTTTTTTTGGATGTCCAATTTGATTGAACATCTACCCTGGTCAGACTAGTCTGCAACCAATCTCTGACTGGTTGTAAAAACAATACTTCCGAAAAGAACAAGTTTTATTTCATAATCGGGAACATATTACACTTATCTATAAAACTTGCGCAGGTGGTGAGAGTTCCAATGTCGATCGACTCGTCCACCCTCCATGGTTTCCAGCTGATAAGTGCCCGGGCGGATAATCGCCCTAATGCAATACGGCCCTTCCCAGTTGCGCACTAACTTGCCTCTTTCGTTGGGCTTACTAGCATCCCTTCTTCGTAAGACTTCATCGTGCACTTGGAAATAACGTGGACCAACTCAGTTATCATGATATCTTTTTACTGATTGCTGATACCCGGCCATTTTGACGGCTGCCATCGTTCTTCTCTCTTCCACCAGATTCAATTCTGCCATGTGGTCAACCTCGTTCTGACCGGCCTGATACACGGCCTCTCTAAATGTTGGGAATTCTGCCTCGATGGATAACCGGGCTTCACATCCATAAGTGAGCACGAATGGTGTCTCCCCCGGTTGCTCTTCTAGAAGTTACCCTGTGTGCCCAGACTGTATGAGGTAGTGCTTCCAACCATTTGCGCCCTTCTTCGCCCAACCTTTTCTTTAGCCCGTCCATTATGCCATCGAAGCCTTGTTATGCTTGATCCCAAAACTAGCCAAATACGCCGTGAACCGGGGGTGGCAAAACTGTGGTCCGTTATCAGTCACTGTTGTAGACTTGTCGTGAGGTCCAAAACAAATTAAAAATTTATAAATAACCTTAGCTAACCCCCAAAATAGAATCAAATAAAAAATATAGCTAAGGCAAGTAAGGGTCGATCCCACGGAGAAAGTTTATATTTTTTAAAAACCAATTTAGTATGCGAACACGTTGTCACGAAAATAAATATGAAAATAAAACTAACTACTACACATATGATAACACTTATAAAACTTATAATAAAATTTATAAATATAACTTATATAAATAAAGAACTTATAATATAACTTAAACACAACACAAAGGGGTGGTTGAATAAAAAGTAAATATTATTTGGGTTTTTTATATTTTCTTATTTTTTTTGGTTTTTTTGATAAAATGGGGGAAAACAAGCTCTATAGATATTCAACTTCTCCAACTAAGGTAACCCAAGAAACACCGCCAAGAACCCGAAACAAAATGAAAAAGAGAACAAACACAAGTTAAACATTACATGTATTATACGCACGTAGACAATATATTATGTAACTTATGCACTTAAGAATAGGAAAAACAATCAAAGTCCGAGTCGATTCATTTCCTTAACCATGACATGGAGGATTGTCAACTCTCCACACGGCCCAGAGTCATGCAATTCAAAAGCCCGTTTTGAAATATACTTTTGAACCCCAACTCTCTATTCAAGCATGAAAACATACTTCCACTATAGAAAAAGTTTATAAAAGAGAGAATCTATTATGCATTCAACTCTCATACATAATCTATTCACAAACCACCAATACCTTATGCATTTTAATAAACTTTTTCTCCTAATGATGAGCACATTTCACAGATTTCCATGAACTTCTCAAACCAATGACGTTCTTTCTATTCACATAAATGAACACAACATATTTTCAATAAATTGAGAATTGTTTTTTAGCTTAAACAACCTCAACTCAATGAAAATAACAAAGAATCGCATGAAAACATAGCAATAACTCAATAACGAATTCTAAGAAAAATGAATCATCTTATGGGGCTAAGAAGTCCAAATTCCTTAAAATCAACGAACACAAATCACAACAAAGAATCACGTATGAATCCAGAGTTAATTTAACTATCTTATGGAGCTAAAATAGCTTCAACAAAAACCGAATTTCACATACCAACGTACTTATGAAATCAAATTATGCAATTCTGTTAAATATATTATATATATTTAGTATTAATTGTGTAATCATTGTATACATGGTAGTTTCCTTGTATAGGATTCCTTCCGTAGTTAGGATTCTCATGTATTATATATACGAGGCTTAGCCCTCCGTAATACACATAGAAAATAATAATTCTTCATGGTATCGGAGCCTTCGTCTCTCTCGACCAAACCCTAGCTGCGCCACTTTCTCCTTCGGCCGAACCCTAGTTCCGCCACCCCTCTCCTGCAGCGCCGCACGTCACCGGCAGAAGCGCAGCTCCCATACGTGTAGTCTCTCTCTCTCTGCAGGTGCAGCTCTCTCTCTCTCGACAGGCGCAGTTCTCTCTCCTCCGGCAACACCATGTCCGAGAAAACCCCCGTTACCGGCTCGGAAACCTCCTCTCCGACTCCCCACTTGGCTTTCACCACTATTTCCAATGTAAAGCTACATGTGCCGATTCTTCTCAGCTTCTCCGAGCCAAACTACAAGAAGTGGAGTCGGCCTTTCCTCCTCCTCATTCGCCGGTTCTCTTTGGGCGGGTTTCTCACCGGCAAATCGTCACCGTCGAGTGACGATGACGATGAATGGTTCCAACTTGACGCCCTTATTCAAGGATGGATCTTATCTACGGTGAATGATGAAGTGTGTGATCTTGTGCTTTCCACTACCAAATCGGCCTCGGAATTATGGAAGTCTATCTATAATCTCTTTCACGACAATAAAGCGGCCCGGGCTATGCAACTTGAACACCAATTCCGCACCACCACGAAGGGGTCTCTCTCTATGGCCGCCTATTGCCAAACCCTTCGTAACCTAGCGGACTGGTTGGATGATGTGGATGCCACCGTGTCTGAACAACAGCTCGTTCTCCAAGTTCTTCGTGGGTTACTGGATGACCTTCGTGGTCAAACGTCCTTCCTCCAATATCAAACGCCGCCCCCAACTTTTCTCCAAACCTAGTCGGCCCTTCTCCTCCTCGAACAACAACGGGCAAATCTGGGGACTGGCGGGGCCGTGGGGGACAGTGGCACGGCTCTATACGCCGGCAGCGGTGGTTCCAGCGGTGGTGACTCACGGCGGTACGACAGCACTGGTGGAGGCCGGGTAGATTCCAGCGGCAGGGGCAGTCCTGGGCAGTCACAGCACAACCGGCAACGCGGGGGACAGCAGAGGGGTCGTGGTCGCGGCCGAAGCTCTGGGCCGAATGCACGGCACACCCACGGGCAGATTACCGGACAGTTCACCAACCCAAACCCTAACCTGGGTCTCCTTGGCCCTCGACCGAATCCCCACCCATACCCACAGGCCTATTTTTCTACACCCTACCCGCACGCTAGTGCACCCTACCCATACCCCAGCCCCTACCCGACAACCCCCCTCTACCCGACATCCTCACCCACAACTCCCTCAGCCGGTGCCAACACCATCACACCCACCGCCCTNCGAATGCACGGCACACCCACGGGCAGATTACCGGACAGTTCACCAACCCAAACCCTAACCTGGGTCTCCTTGGCCCTCGACCGAATCCCCACCCATACCCACAGGCCTATTTTTCTACACCCTACCCGCACGCTAGTGCACCCTACCCATACCCCAGCCCCTACCCGACAACCCCCCTCTACCCGACATCCTCACCCACAACTCCCTCAGCCGGTGCCAACACCATCACACCCACCGCCCTCGCCCATAATTTTGACACCCTGAACCTTCGCGATCCAAATTGGTACATGGACACCGGCGCCACACATCATATTGCCTCGGACTCAGGTACTCTTTCTCATGTTCGTAATCATTCTTTAAATTCATCATCATATATCACTGTAGGTAATGGTTCTAAAGTGCGCACTACGGCAACCGGTAATTACAATTTTCCCATTTTTCCTCCCCTCCACTTACAAAACATCCTTGTCTCCCCTCATATAATCCATAACCTTATATCCGTTAGGCAATTTACCCGTGACAACAATTGTTCTATTGAATTTGATTCCACTGGTTTTTCTGTGAAGGATATGCTGACGGGAATCGTGATTCATCGGTCCAATAATGCGGGCCCTCTCTACCAAATGAGCCTACCAGCCGCCACCCATGCCCAAGCTCAAGCCCACGTTGCCAGTGAAAGTCCAGAGCTCTGGCATCGTCGACTTGGTCACCCAAGTCTGGCCGTTCTCCGTGGAGTCCCTTGTCTCGCGTCTGCTATTTCTTTTAAACATTTACAAAATTCAATCTGTCATGCTTGTCAGTTGGGAAAACATGTTCGTCTCCCGTTTGAGTCATCGAGTCGTATTTCTACTTTTCCTTTCTAGCTTTTACATACTGATTTGTGGCAATCGCCTGTTACTAGTGTTACTAGTTTTAAACATTACATGTTACTCTTAGATGATTATTCTCATTTTTTATGGGTGTTTCCTCTTAGAAGTAAATTTGAAGCTTGTTCCCATCTTCATTCATTTATAGCCTTTGTGAAAAACCAGTTTAACACTACTATTAAAGCTGTGCAATGTGACAATGGTACTGAATATAGAAACACGCCCCTCCAAAATATTTTTGAATCCCTGGGCATTCTTTTCCGTTTCTCCTGTCCCCACACCAGTCAACAAAATGGACGGGCAGAACGTACTATTCGCACTATAAACAATTCTGTTCGCTCTCTTTTACTCCAAGCCCAACTCCCACCTACCTTCTAGGTTGAAGCTCTATATATGGCCTCTCATCTCTTCAACATCTTACCCACCACGACTCTCCAAAATCGCACCCCACACGAAGCCCTCTATGGTCACAAACCTACATACTCTCACCTCCGTGTCTTTGGATGTCTTTGCTATCCCAACTTATCTGCTACAGCACCCCACAAACTCGCCCTTCGTTCCGCCCGCTGTGTCTTTCTCGGGTACCCGTCTAACCAACGGGGATACTGCTGCCTTGATCTTTGTACCCACAAAATTATCGTCTCCCGTCATGTGATTTTCGATGAGCACTCCTTCCCCTACGCTCATCCGGTCTCACCCACTGATCTTGCCTTTCTTGACTCCGCGGAGGACGACCCAAACCCTCACCA